CCAATGGTGAAGTCACATGGCAAGAAATGTCCTATATTCAAGAGGAAAAAGCTCACAGAGCTCATGGTAAAAAATGGAAGAGAAAATTGAGTACTGGAATTGGATCTGATCTGCTCACCCTTAGAAAGAGGGAGGCTTTTTGTTTCTGTGGTCATGGAGGTGTGCCACTCAGCCCTTCCCTCCAGCCACAGCCTGCTCAACAGTGCAATCATCAGCCAAATGCTGCACCTTTGGAATCCACCGCAGCCTTCAGCTTCAAGCCTGTGCTCTTTTAGAGCTGCTCCCAGTGAGTAACGGCACAGGTGGGGTTCTGTGAGACAGGCCGCTTCTGCCCCAGGAGGGACGCCTCTCAAAGGCAGTCTTTGTTCTGGGGCTTTCCTTGGCCTGGCTGGACTTTCTTGAGCTACACTGCTGTGTGAATCTTTCCTACTCAGACCTCCTTCCTTCCCGCTTTCTTTTCATAGGTGCTAGGTCAGCATTGTGATATAAAACATTTTCCTTCCTATGATTGCTATTATATTGACCAGCTCTTTAGCTAGATTTGTTGTCTTTTTAGCATATCCCCTGTCATCCTAGAAAAAATGCTGATCAATAACTACAAGACATACCCTTGCCGTCCTAATTTTTCCTGCCCTAAAACATGAAGCCAGGTGCTTTTCATGAAGTCCTGGTTGCGATGAGTGTGATTTGAAAGCAGAACCCGTGCTTTACGCGTGCTCCTGATGGCGCGGCACGCATGCAAGTGCTGCCCTTGTGGCAGGGATGGGACAAACTTTAAGAGTCTGAGCTTATATCACATTTTTTTCCAATTAAAAAATTTTAATCACAGTTCTCATGCAGCATGGGCATTATAAATAAAATTGCGCCGCTAGATTTTGTAAACCACAGATTGTTTCTGTCCAGTGCCAATATTTTCTGAGATTAGCTATGATGGAATCTGTAGTATTGGTCTGCCCAGCGGCTCTTCCTCCTTTCTTTGTAAGTAGTACTTCAATTTTTTATTCTGGGACTTCTCTTCCCTCCCCCCATGCTTTTCTAATGGGGTGGTCACGTGCGCTGTCCCCAGCCTCCTAGACACATGTCTGAGGTGAGACTGTCCTCCCTGCTCAGGATTTTCAGCACTCACTGATTGGACATTGACACAGAGCACTGACAGGAGTCTTTCCAATGGCTGTTCCCTAAAGTCTAAAAGAGATGGTCTTTTAATACCTATTTCCTAATTTCCTGGAGTATCTCTGATCTTATTCTTCCCAAAGCCTGAATGTTCACTTTTCCTTTAGATTTTATAACTTTTTCATCATTAATGATTATTATGCTTATTATTACTTTGCTTAAGTTAACTGAGGTCCATTTCTGTGACCTCCCGTCAACGAATCCTAACCGAGACACTCATTTTAGTGGATGAGTATGTAACTATGGCAAATGATTTTAAAATTATTTGCATCATCAGTTCATTGAACAAAGATGTAAGTCAATGACAAGGTGTGTGGGAAAAATGTGGGTTGTTTTTATTCACAAAACATGTTCTTTTTTTCTTGAAGCTCACTTTGATTTTCTACGTGTTTTATGTACTTTTCTATGTGTTTTCTTAGAATTATTTATTTTTATATGAAAATGATAGATTGCTCATAATTTGTCATTTTCACAAAGAGAAAGCATAAGGCCCCCTTGGAGGGAAAAGCCTGCATAACTTCACCACCCTGGCCCTGAGTTTATCTGAGGTTGTGTATCGTGTATTTATAACATCATTACTCAGTCTCTGTCTTCACGGGGGAAAAGGCCAGAGGTACTTTTGGGTTGTTTTCTTTGATGTTTTGGGATGGTTATTGACAATGGCTTTGGGCCATCGAGTGTTTGAACTTGTATGAGTTGAACTATATGACTCCTACCAGCAAGGGGGCTGTGTTTTTCCCATTTGTGAAGTGCTATTTTTATTTCCTCTGTTCTGTAGACAATATTAACTGACCTTGAATTTTGCTGGGCTAAAGTGCTAGGTAAACAATAAATAATCATAGTGGCTCCATGAGATCACTGTCTACGTTGGGTACCTTCTGCATTCTTCAACACTCCATTGTTGGTTCAAGTTTTGTTTTTTTTTGTTTTTTGTTTTCTTTTAAGACAGAGTCTCACTCTGTTGCCCAGGCTGGAGTGCAGTGGTACGATCTCGGCTCACTGCAACCTCCAGCTCCTGGGTTCAAGCTATTCTCGTGCCTCAACTTCTTGAGTGGCTGGGATTACAGGTGTGTGCCACCACACCCTGCTAATTTTTGTAGTTTTAGTAGAGGCAGGGTTTTGCCATGTTGGCCAGGCTGGTCTCGAACCACTAGCCTCAAGTGATCTGCCTGCCTTGGCTTCCCAAAGCGCTGAGATTACAGGTGTGAGTCACCACACCTGGTCAGTTTTTGGTTTTTAAATTGCCCGACTTAATCTTCAGATTATAATATGATTCCAAAGCACAGCTACAATGGCAGCTACCATTTATTCAGTATGGTGCCAGGCGCTACAGTAGGTGCTTTGTAAAAAGTGTGTTTATGTTCACCGAAATCTTGGGTTTATAGTGATGCGGTAACAAGAGAACTGGAATTTGAAGCTCTGTGATCTGATAAAGATTTTATCAAAAATTCCCGTGCCCTACCTACATTTTAATATTTATTGAAATGAAGTATGCCCTGGTCCTGCATATTTGTACACAGTTTCATAGTATGTCTACGCTTCTGTAGTGAGTGCATACTTGCTGAAAGCCAATACTGCAGGTGAACCCTGTTCATACAGGAACTCAGTTTTTAAAGTGTTTCTGTTGCCTAAAACTTTTTAGGAGTGCATTGATACTATCACAGCTCACTGTAGCCTTGACCTTCCAGACATAAGTGACCCTTCCACCTCAGTCTCCCGAGTAGCTGGCACCACAGGTGCATGCCGTCAACCTGGGTAATTTTTGCATTTTTTTTGGTAGAGAGTCTCACCATGTTGCCCGTGCTTGTCTTGAACTCCTGGGCTCAAGTGATCCTCCCACTGAGGCTCCCCAAAGTGCTAGGATTACAGGTGTAGGCTATTGCACCCAGCTGGCCTGCCATTTCTGACTCCACTATTGTCTCCCAAATATTTTCCTTTTCATTATTTATGAGTTAGCTAGGAGAGAAGCAACAAAATAAACAAAGGCTGAGAATTATAGTGCTAAGAACTAGACGCACACTAAAAACTCTGCTTAGTCTTCTTGCATTTCATCAAAAATATTGGAATTGGAAACTATCACTTTCTTGAACCCTCTGTTTACTTAATGCCTTTGATCTCACCGCTCGTAAGTAGTGATTCAAATTCTAAACCATGCGTTATCTTACTTGATCTAGAGCTCTTTCCACCACTTAACCATGGCTGGCCTTGCGGAGGGCCTGGAGAAGATTCACTCAAACACACGCCACCCTGAACACGATGTAAATAAGCACTTGGATATTTCTGCAGGTGAGTGATCATAACCTCTTCTCAACAGAGACGTCTGCTTGGCAAAACAAATAAGAGCCCTGATAAATAGTGGGATAAAAACAAGACATATGCCTACTTAGCCCTTGTTTCAATCATTCTAACATTTTTACCTGCTTACTCTTTACTTTTGACTATTTTACTGTTTTCCTTTGCTATTTACTCGCTTATTCTTTTACCCCGTCCAGCATCCAGTACCTTCTCCAAGTCAGAAATCCGATTGTCACCCTTGATTTCTCCCTCTTTTTTTGTTTCCTTTTGTCAGTTAGTCAGCCAGTTTTGTCACAATATCATTTGAATATGACAGTTTTTCTCTCTTCCTACTGCTACCACCGCAGTCCAGTGCACCATCATCTCCTGACCTCAGTGATGGGATTGCCGTCACGGTATTCTAGCTGTACCCGAAAGGAAATATCTCATGCCATTTATGCATAACTGGATCTCTTGGAGCCAGGGGCTTTTGAGGATGACTTGGGCCCTAGAGGGTATAGAGCAGAGTGAATCTGGCTGTTAATGGTTGCCACAGAACGGGCAAGAGACTCTCTATTAGAGAACAGTACAGATTGGCACAGTTTGTTTTAGTGCCGGACTAAAGTTCTCACTGGAACTCTTTGAACCAAGGATGAGAGATGAAATCATTAAGCAGGATGTGCTGTGGGCTTTGGACTCTAGGCATAACAGAATAGTGCTTCATGCTTTAGAGGCTGGGTGAAGGTATTAAGAGATCTGTGGGAGGTCAGCAATAGATGAGAAAAGACCAGAATAATATTGGAGAAGTAAGATGGTTACTTAACACCAAGTTCTACATAGGACATGTTTGTTGAGTTGTGTATAGACTGTAGAATTGTTTATGTGCTATCAAGGTCTTTCCAGGTTGAGAGTGGACTCAAAGTGGCTAGGCCAGTAGAGACATTCAGGAGCCAAGGGCTTGACGCCTGAGTATCAGTTCTATGAGTTCAGTAAGCTCTTTGACTATAGCTTTTCCCTGCCTAGAGATTTAAAAGTGTCCTTGTTATGCCCTAACAGGTTGGGTCACGCTTAATTTGGACTTTCCAAAAGCAGAAATAAAAAATTAGTAACAAAGGTACAGATAGCTAGATTAGGTGAAATTTTTAAAAAGATACAATGGAAGATGGAAGCTTTCTATGAGAAAGACTTTGTTAGCGAAGAGATCAGCCGCTACAAATGAAACTAAATAGATGGCATCCACAAGGCTAAGGCTGAGTTTGGCAGGTTTTGCTAAATCACCCTGGGATTATATTTAACGAGATTACCAATTCATTGTACAGTAGAGAGGGTCTTGCAGGACAAGCATAGACAGTGGATTCCCTATCAAATAGCACATTTAGCCTGGGAGAGAATGGGTCTGAGTCTCTCACAGCCAAGATGAAACAGTGTTTCATTGAAAATGTTCCCACTCTAAACTCATGGGGATCCTGATTTCTAAATTGGTTTCAATTAAATATATTTTTTTCCTTCTAAAAAAACAACATACACCTTTAATCTCTTCTAACTATTGGCAGATCTGTGATGCTATGGCACTCCACACCTTCCCAGTGGCTGCAATTACACACATCAAGTTTCAGAATGAACGACAAGGTAAGATTCTGGAGGTAAAAGGCTACCACTTATGGTCCCCATTTTGCTCTCGTATGTCACAGCCTTTTATTGTCAGGAGTTATTTAGAGAATCAGTCACCGGCTAACAAAACCATCTGTTAGTTAACAACAGCAAAATATGAGGCTATTTCAAAATGGCATGGGGCATTTCAAGTTAAGGAAGAAGGGTGCCAACTATTTTTTCCCTTTAGTCTTTCCTTGTTAAAGAAGAATGCGTTTGTTATCAAAGCCAGTTTGGCTAATGTGCTTTCACCTCATACGTATCTAGAAATCAAAGCTGCCTGGAGAGTTATTTGAGGGTATGTTCTCCCTTTGGAGCCCATCTTGCTCCAGCCATGCTAATAAGAATTTCATGTGTGCGTGAAGAAGACAATATAGCCTTTATGCAATTCAACCAACATGGCCTACGCAGAACATGGTCGATGTTGGGAAAGCAAAAACGGTCTCTCTAGACAGATTCGGTAAAATTCTTCACCTTTGTGCTTTCTTTGTACTACTCCATTACTTTTCCCAGCCAGGGGAGGGAGGTGGCAGATGAAGAATCTCTGTACTTCTTTTCCCTCAGCCAGATAGTTTCCCAAATCAGCTAAATATAACTCCATTTATTGTCATGCTAAAATGTTCTATTTAGCTGTGTTTAACTGGATATCATGGTTCCATGGGCTGACCTTTCACTCCTGGGAAGTCGTTTTAAATTCAATCCCCAGCAAAGGAAAATCCTTCCAATTCGTTGGCTGTGAAAGGTCACAAGTGAGATGTGTTTTGATGGTATCTGCCTATGGCTTAATTCTCAGTAAACCTGAGCACTAACTGGGCCTCAATTGTCCTTTGTCTTGGGAATCTGAGTTCTAAGAAGCCTGGGAGAGCTGAGTGGGAGACATGGGCTGAGTTGCTGGCATCAGGAAAGGGTACACAAAGGTACCAGCTGAAAGGTGAGGTTTATGGTGCTAAGTTAGGTCAACGCTGCCTTCTTTCCGAGCTGATCGGGGATTCAGACAAAATATATAGTTTCTCTTCTTGTTTCATTTGATCTCTTTAAGAGGGACATTTCCCACTTTCTGGGAGGCAAAGAGGGCTTAGGTGAGGTAGGGAAGGAACTAGAAGTGTGTGAACCAGTCAAGAGGAAATTGGAGTATCTGAACATTTAGCCATTTCAGGGTCCAAAGTTTTGAGTTTGAATATTTTCCTTTCAGGACCTCTTTCTCTTCACGGTCCAGTAGGACTTCAATCTATTCTAGGCTCTCCTCACCATCATCATTATGCCAATTTTTTACTGAATTAAAATACCTTCAAAAATCTTAACCAAGAACTTCCTACTTAAAAAAAAAAACAAACTCATGCTTTACCAAGCAAAGGTAGGAGTTTTGTCAGACATGGGAATGAGCACAGATTTTGTGACAAAGACACCAAAAGCAATCACAACAAAAGCAAAAATTGACAAGTGGGATCTAATCAAACTCAAGAGCTTCTGCACAGCAAAAGAAGTATAAACAGCGTAAACTGGCAACCTACAGAATAGGAGAAAATATTGGCAAATTATGCATCTGACAAAGGCCAAACATCCAGAATCTATAAGGAACTTAAACAGATTTACAAAAGAATAGCAAACAACCCCATTAAAAAGTGGGCAAAGGACACTGTAAGATTTATTGCCGAGGTAAAATGAGGAAACTGAGGCAAGTATAAGAAAATGAGAAGCTGATTTATTCAGCTCCCAGGGGAGGTTCTGTGGTCCAGGGAGGGGCTAAAGAAGTCGTGCCCGTCTGTTTAGGTCATGGGGTTTTATGGGACGGGAAGGTGATTGATTGGCTATTGGGGAAACAAAGCAAAGGCAATTTTATTGGCTGTCAGGAAGCAGGAAGTGCTTGAAACTAGTTGCCATTGGTAGGTGGGCGGGACTTTGGGTAAGTGGGCCTTCATTGGCTGTTGGAGAAACAAAGTGAAGGCAATCTTATTGGCTATTAAGAAGCAGGAAATACCTGGAGCTAGTGCTTATGGGTAGGCGGGCGGGACCTTGGGTAAGTGGGCCTTCTGGGGGCATACAGAGCAGACTGCTACTGAGTAGGGCCTGATGGGGCTTCTTTAAAAAAATTTTCCTGCAGGGTTTATCAACAGCGGGCTGGGGGTTGAATGCATAATTTAGTTCTGAATGTCGGCTTGGGTCTGGTATGCGGAGACGGGTGCGGAGAAGCTGTGCAGCAAGGCCAGATAACGAGCTTGGGTGATGATGCAGTTATCAGGCGAGGAGAGAGATGGATGAGTCCGTTTAACCCTCTGCGAGGTAGCCGGCCTTACAGACATGAACAGACATTTCTCAAAAGAAGACATACATGCATCCAATAAGCATATGAAAAAAAGCTAAATATCACTGATCATTAGAGAAATGCAAATCAAAACCATCATGAGATACCATCTCACACCAGTCAAAATGACTATTATTAAACAGTCCAAAAATACGGATGCTGGAGAGGTTGCAGAGAAAAGGGAACACTTATACACTGTTGGTGGGGTATAAGTATAAATAATTTACATTTTATTTCAACATTGTGGAAAGCAGTATGGCGATTCCTCAAAGAACTAAAAGTGGAACTACCATTTCCCCCAGCAATCCCATTACTGGGTATATACCCAGAGGAATATAAATCATTTGATCATAAAGATACATGCACATGAATGTTCACTGCAGCTCTACTCACAATAGCGAAGTCATATAATCAACCTAAATGCCCATCAATGACAGACTGGATAAAGAAAATGTGGTACATATACACCATGGAATATTATGCAGCCATAAAAAGGAATGAGATCATGTCTTTTGCAGAAACATGGATGGAGCTGGAGGCTATAATCCTTAGCAAGTTAACACAGGAGCAGAAAACCAAATACTGCATGTCCTCAATTATAAGTGGGAGCTAAATTATAAAAACTTATGAATACTAAGAAGAAAACAATAGACACTATGGCCTACTTGAGGATGGAGGGTGGGAGGAGGGAGAAGAGCAGAAAAATCCACAAGCGTAGTGTCTGGCTCCTTTCTAACTTAGAAAGAAGCCGAGAAAGCAGTCTGTCCTTCCAATCATTTCATTCCTTTATTCCAAACATGAACTATGCTCGAATCCAGAAAGCATTCAGTGTTTCTTGGAAACTACTTGCAATTCTGTACTTCCATTTCTATGTTTGTGTTGCCTCCTCTTCCTGGGACAGCTTCATTTTCTCATCAAAATTCTATTCATGCATAAAGGCCAAAATGTCACTTCTTTCTGTGAAGCCTTCAAAAGCTTTCCCCTCCCCACTTGTGGAGAAGCCAAGCATAGCTTCCATAATACTTTGTCTATGTATATATTATGCCTTATTTCATTATGGTACATTTATGTGTCTCCTTCTCAGTCCAGCTCCTTAAAAGGTAGAACCCGTAAGGTTTATTGCCGATGTAAAATTAGGAAACTGAGGCAAGTATGAGAAAATGAGAAGCCAATTTATTCAGCTCCTGGGTGAGGTTCTGTGGTCCAGGAAGGGGCTAAAGCAGTCACGCCAGGCTGTTTAGGTCATGGGGTTTTATGGGAAGGGAAGGCGATTGATTGGCTATTGGGGAAACAAAGCAAAGGCAATTTTATTGGCTGTCAGGAAGCAGGAAGTGCTTGAAACTAGTTGCTATTGGTAGGCAGGTGGGACTTTGGGTAAGTGGGTCTTGATTGGCTGTTGAGGAAACAAAGTGAAGGCAATCCTATTGGCTATTAAGAAGCAGGAAATGCCTGGAGGTAGTGGTTATGGGTAGGCGGGCGGGACCTTGGGCCTTGATTGACTGTTGGGGAAACAAAGTGAAGGCAATCTTATTGGGTGCGGGGAAGCCGTGCAGCAAGGCCAGATAATGAGCTTGGGTAATGATGCAGTTATCAGGCGCGGAGAGAGATGGATGTGTCTGTTTAACCCTCTGTGAGGCAGCCAGCCTTACATTCCGACCTTTTGTATGATATAGGATGTCGCTTCTTTCTGGCTACTTCCTGCTGAACAGGGGAGGAGTGGGAGGGTCAGTTGGCTGGTGCCTTGGTTGTGAGTTGGACGTAGGGGTGAAGCAGCATTTGATTTACAGCTACCCTGGAAATTTCCCTCATGGGAGCTTGTAAAAACCTGAGAAAGAAAGGGGCTAGCATTAGCAAAAGACAAATTACGATAATGGGAGTGATGATAGGGGTTAGCTAGGTAAGTATGTGGGACTGCCACCAGTTAAGAGAAGAGGCTGGTAACTTTGTCTTTTTTGGAGGCCTTTTTGAAGATGATAGAGAGTGTTGACATTTTCCTCCCCTAGACGGGTTTTATTAGTGTAATAACAACATTGTTTTTGGAGAAATGAGCAGGTACCTCCTTTTTTTTTGCTGTTAACAGGTTTAGGGCCTGCCAATTTTGGAGAGTTACTTGAGCCAGTGACGTGATTTGTTGTTGGAGGGATACTAGAGAGGTGGCTGATGCTTTAATGGCTACCCGGAGTTTGTTGTCTAGTTGAGGGGCTGAAATGATGCTGTAACTTAGAGCGCCACTCCCTACTCCTACAGCTGGTAGAGAGGAAGCTAGGGAGGGCCGACCATTATTGGGAGGAAGATTAGTTAAGACCTCCCGAGGTTTAGTAAGTGTATTTATGAGTTTAGGACAGGAATGGGCTGGGGAGGGAGTGTGGAGCAGAAGAGGAAGCAGAGTAGCTGGGTTGAGTGGAGAAGTAGGATGGAGGCTGACTGAAGGATTTTTAATAAAGAGTAGATGAAACTTTTGTAGATGAGAGGGCCCTAAGTGAGTGAGAGATTTGTGTGAGAGAAGGTTAGTTAGCTGATGAGGTGAGAACACTGAAATAGACTGGCTTAAGGTAATTTTTAAGGGTTGCAGGCAAGGCTGCCACCCCCTGACTGTGGGGTTAAGCTGGACAAATAGGCTACAGGACGATATGTGGGGTTTTAAAAGCTTGTTTTACAACCCCTGGATGGGAGAGGG